TATCCTCGTTCCACGTAACGTTCTCTGCCTTCTTCTCACATCCGGTCTCCTGGGATACTCGTCTGACGAAGTACACAACTTTCGGTTTCTTACTCGGAGAGAAAAACTGACTGGGCAGTGGTCAAAATAAGTATTGGACACACCCACCACGTAGGTTTCAATATTCTTAAAGAAAGATTCGTGAGTTAAAACACAACCGACTTGAACCTCTCGTATTATAAAACGTGATACTACCAGAAGGATTGTCTGGATGGCGTCCATTTACAATACGTCACACATGAGTTTAACACGACACAATTAAGTATCGACCAAATTGGTTAACGGTTTGACAGTAAGTTACATGCACAAATACCAAGGTGGTCAGCTACAGTAAAGTCTAATTCGCCTGTACAGCTATTTAAATCACCAATTGATAATATATTACAGGTATTATTATTGTAGATTACACTTATATTCTACAGTTATATGAAGGAAACAGTGGGCTTATTATTAAGCATACGATTTATATTAGTTTTTACATACTAGAAAAATGTATAGTATGGAAACTATCAGGATCCTAAGGGGAACCTGCGAATGATAGGTTCAAACGTTGCCTTCAAGTGCGCTGCAGAAAGACGCTTCCAAGCATGAAGAGCATTTGATTTTTACATACCTATGTGTTGAGAAGAAGAGTTTTGAAATCTTAACTCAATTTGACCCCTTTTAGCCTGCTCATCAGCCCCTGGGGGTCAGTTAGGATCCATATGGGCATACCATCAAACCGTCATCCTTTGCTCATACTTGTAACCAATTTTAAAATATTTCCAATGGAAATGAAACAAATTGTGTCCAAAATCATTTTTTCTAAATAAACTATTCAGTCAATTTGACCCTTAAGCCCCGCCCATCTGCTCTTTTGGGTAAGTCAATATTAATATGTGCAAACCATGAAGCCATCATCCTTCCCTCATAATTCCAAAGAAGTTTGAAATACTTCCAATGGAAATTGTGCTCAAAATCATTTTTTCTATATAAACTATGTAAATTTTACTCCCTTCGCACGGAGGAATGTGAGATCATTATTAGACTAGGGAAGATTTTGGCAAAAATTTATAGACTTTGGATCAGGGTTTTTTGAGAAGTCGAAAATGTTATATTATTTACGGACGCACGACGCATGACGCTCGACACCGGTAAAGGTCTCAGGTGACCTAAAATATATATCACGGTCATAAGATTCCGTTAATAAATATTTTACAGTAAATTTGTTTATTCTCAATTCCTTCAAAAGCCTTGAGTTGATTGGTGTACATAGAATTTTTTGGCTGGAGAGCGCCCTCATCGTCAGTAACCCGCTGACGTTTCGACACATTCCGTCACTTTCTACGATATCTGAAATTACGATATTTTTAATCTTTTGTTTTTGGGCTACAAAAATGGGTGCAATGAAAAGGTGATATTACATTGAAAGTGGGTTACCGACGGTGAAGTACCCACGAAATTATCTTGAGATAAATGTTGATTTGACCGTTTATTCACTCTTGGTTAGAATAATTCGTGGATTGACAGTACACAGAATCAATGAAAATAAAACAATCACGAAAATTAATTATTATCACTATGTAGTAGATAACTCTCCTCCTAATTACGTAATGGCCATCGTTTATGTAGGCGTTGGTATGTGTATTTCTTTTCCCTAATCGATTTTATACGATTTATAAAATATATAAGAAAAAAACATCTGTCCCAATATTTGGGTATAACAATTTAAATCATTCAATTCTGAAATAAACCAATTTTTTATGAATTAGTTTTGTGATGAGAGGAAAACATATATGCCACTAAAACTGACAGCATAATATAGTATTCTTTAAAGCAATATCCCCCACCCCACAATTACCATGACTATCCAGAAATGACAAATCGCAAAAATATCCTCATACAAGTGGGGTTTCATTCCGGCAAACAAACTCATTCTTACAAAACATTTCTACCCCAAAACGGGAGCTCTTTTTCTGTATTTGTCTCTTAAGATATTGAAAGTGTGAAGCTACAACCCTCTTCCCCTGTCGACTATTACACTATAACAATTTGTGCCGTCATTTATACGGGAGATAATTGCCATTAACCAGCAATTATTTTTAAAGACTTACTTTCAGTGTTCCAAAGTATTTTTTTTTTAAATAAGGACTCTCATACATAACATTGTGCGGTGTTGTTTCTATCTAAGCTTAACTGTTGCATAGATAAGTCAACATGTTCCCAGGCGTTAAAATTTCTCAATAGTTGTTTCGTAAATCTCACATATAAACACTCCGGTAAGATCTTGATAATTATATCTACTGCACGGACAGCAGACAGTTCCATTAAATCAAATTGGGTGTACTGTAGTCACTTGTGTAGTTAAATAGCTGTTTCTGCATAACATTAACTGTGGAGACTATCATCATGACATTACATTTTGTGTCTGTTTTGTGGAGACTATCGTCATATGACATTACATTTTGTCTGTTTTGATCATGTGACATTACATTTTGTCTGTTTTGTGGAGACTATCGTCATATGACATTACATTTTGTGTCTGTTTTGAGGAAACTATCATCATATGATATTACATTTTGTGTCTGTTTTGAGGAGACTATCGTCATGACATTACATTTTGTGTCTGTTTTGTGGAGACTATCGTCATATGACATTACATTTTGTATCTGTTTTGTGGAGACTATCGTCATATGACATTACATTTTGTGTCTGTTTTGTGGAGACTATCATCATGACATTACATTTTGTCTGTTTTGTGGAGACTATCGTCATATGACATTACATTTTGTCTGTTTTGTGGAGACTATCATCATGACATTACATTTTGTGTCTGTTTTGAGGAGACTATCGTCATATGACATTACATTTTGTGTCTGTTTTGAGGAGACTATCGTCATATGACATTACATTTTGTGTCTGTTTTGTGGAGACTATCATCATGACATTACATTTTGTGTCTGTTTTGTGGAGACTATCGTCATATGACATTACATTTTGTCTGTTTTGTGGAGACTATCGTCATATGACATTACATTTTGTATCTGTTTTGAGGAGACTATCGTCATATGACATTACATTTTGTATCTGTTTTGAGGAGACTATCGTCATATGACATTACATTTTGTATCTGTTTTGTGGAGACTATCATATGACATATGACATTACATTTTGTACATTTTGTGTCTGTTTTGTATCTGTTTTGAGGAGACTATCTGTTTTGAGGAGACATATGACATTACATTTTGTCTGTTTTGTGGAGACTATCGTCATATGACATTACATTTTGTCTGTTTTGTGGAGACTATCGTCATATGACATTACATTTTGTATTACATTTTGTATCTGTTTTGTGGAGACTATCGTCATATGACATTACATTTTGTCTGTTTTGTGGAGACTATCGTCATATGACATTACATTTTGTCTGTTTTGTGGAGACTATCATCATGACATTACATTTTGTATCTGTTTTGTGGAGACTATCGTCATGTGACATTACATTTTGTCTGTTTTGTGGAGACTATCGTCATATGACATTACATTTTGTGTCTGTTACATTTTGTGTTTTGTGGAGACTATCGTCATGACATATATATGACATTACATTTTGTATCTGTTTTGAGGAGACTTTCATCATATGCCATTACATTTTGTATCTGTTTTGAGGAGACTATCGTCATATGACATTACATTTTGTATCTGTTTTGAGGAAACTATCATCATATGATATTACATTTTGTGTCTGTTTTGAGGAGACTATCGTCATATGACATTACATTTTGTATCTGTTTTGAGGAGACTATCGTCATATGACATTACATTTTGTATCTGTTTTGTGGAGACTATCGTCATATGACATTACATTTTGTGTCTGTTTTGAGGAAACTCTGTTTTGAGGAGACTTTCATCATATGCCATTACATTTTGTATCTGTTTTGAGGAGAATATCGTCCTATGACATTACATTTTATATCTGTTGTGTGGAGACTATCATCATATGACATTTGTAAGCAATTTGTCATATGACCTTCATTATTTGGTGCACAAAGTTGTTATATGACCTTGTTTTGAAGATAATGTCGTTTTCTGACCTTCATTGTTTTGTTGGTGTCGCCATATGACCATTGTTTTGAAGACAATGTCGTCATGTGACCTTCATTGTTTTGTCGACAAGGTCGTCACATGACCTTCATTGTTTTGTGGACAATATCGTCATGTGACCATTGTTTTGTGGACAATATCGTCACGTGACCATTGTTTTGTGGACAATATCGTCACGTGACCATTGTTTTGTGGACAATATCGCCACGTGACCATTGTTTTGTGGACAATATCGTCACGTGACCATTGTTTTGTGGACAATATCGTCACGTGACCATTGTTTTGTGGACAATATCGTCACGTGACCATTGTTTTGTGGACAATATCGTCACGTGACCATTGTTTTGTGGACAATATCGTCACGTGACCATTGTTTTGTTGACAATATCGTCACGTGACCATTGTTTTGTGGACATTGTTTTTACATGACTTTTATTATTTTGTGGACAATATCTAATTTCATGTTGTTCAGATAATAACTTTATATAACATATCCTGTTGTATGAACACTAATGTCACATACATTTTTTACTCCGAGGATAATGTCCTCATATGACCTTTGTACATGGTCACTGTTGTACCATTTGTACACTGAGGTGTTTTGTGGACATTGTTTTCTTTGTGACCTTGGCTGATTTGACATTGTAGACTCATCAGAATATCTCTCAACATTTCTAAATTTTTAAAGGCTACTATCAAAAGCTAAATGCATTACAAATAATCAATATAAGATATTAACGGTATTTGATGATATGGAAATATATTTAAAATATGACCTAAAAGATTTTGTATGTTGTAAATAATTTGTGTTTATATAATGTACTGGTACATTACATATATTTTTCTTTCCTTTTTTTAAGGACAAGGCTAAACTCAACTTGTATAGAAAAAACTGAGACTGAAATTTTATTAATAATTCAAAATGTCTAAATCACACCCATCATTACAGACCTGTCTGCTCTTCATTGACATTTGAGATGTTTTCCTTCTGATTGTACTCTGACAGGTAACTCTCCATGATGGCCAGACGTTCTGTGATTGGAGTTTCCTGAGCAAAGAACCATGACTTTAAGTCACCCTTAGCTGTGTACAAATAGGGCCCATCTTGTGGTCCCAAGATATTTCTGCATGATAAATTCCTTGACAAGATACGATTATAGTAGCCTTTTCCTGCTTTTGCATAATCCTGACTGATGGCAGCCACTGCCCAGTCTGTTTGCTTCTCTCGATGACTTTTGTACATGAATAGCAAACTATAATAAGTCACTAGACTCGTGCCAAGTATTAACATATACAGTGATCCCCTGGCAAAAAGTGTTGAGATAGGTTGTAGGTCTGTTTTAGCCAGCATAGAGAAGAAATTCCCAACATTGTTCATCATAAACTCCCTAACATAGTACATCAGACCTACACATGTCCCTGCTGTTACACATCGGAGAACGCCTATCACATAATCAGAATTGCTTCGACAAGAAATCAGTTCTCTCATCATAACAAATTTCTTCTCTTCTCTTGTCAACAGAAGGGAATGTCTAAGGGCGATGCCATCCACAGATTCATTATCCACTGGAACTCTTGGAGTCCTATCTACTTGGCCTTTTGTGAGTACAGAGAGTAGCCTCCCTTTGGAGAGGGAATTCACCGCAGGTATTTCATCCAGTACATGAACCATAAAGTATTGTGGTATACTGATAATGCACCCAAATTTACTCATCATGCTGCCTTTGTGACCTGGATTAGTGCTTGGAACCATCATGAATTTTACTTTATCATTCAGTGACTCCTCAAATTCTAAATGATCTTTTGCCTGAAACAGTAGATATTCCATTAAGATTGACGTGTCAAAAATAAAATGGAAATATCAAGACATCTAATATAACAATACAAAAACAGACAATGCCAACGACTTTCTTTTTTAATCAAATAACTGCTTTACTGTTGGTGCACATGTAATAACATCCATTTTACATATTTCTGTCTTACAAACATGTTATACACATACATGTATATACATGTATGACCTAGCTGGGCTATGAACAGCTCAGTTTTCATCCTTTCCTTTGAGATGTAAAAACTTTATGGCACTGAAATTTAGATTTTGTGTCAGTCTAATAAAATATTGTAAAATATTCATCAAACTTGCAATAATTTTTTTTCTTTTTCTAAGCTATTGTAAGATAAGAGTTTCACATAACAGGGAGTATAATCAATCGTACGTTATCTGAATGTAATATAAGGGGATATCAATAAGAGCTCACACCTTCCCAAATACATTATGACATCACAATGTGGCACATATTAAGATATATAGAGATAAAATAATTTCAGGAGCAACAAGGAAAGACATGTTTTCTCTATGTAATATTTTCAAAAATATTTGATCATGAGATAAACTTACTCATTTACCAGTTCTATTTAAATGTGATTGTAATTAAGAAATTTGTCAAAAACTTGTTCATGCATATTTGTGTTAGTGAACTGGCGGCTGTAAGATTTGCATGATCACGAAAGAACGAGTAATCAAGACTTGCAGTTTTAATAACATGATGGTGACAGTTGTTACACTTGAAAACTTGATTAGAGTATATACTACTCATTATAAAATCTTTTATACCACGGGTCCAGAGGTATTCATCAAATATTTTTTTATTAGAGCTAATTCCACATTCCTAATGTTTAATCTTAAACATAAATTCCTTTTAATACCACGTTTCTGTTAATTTTGCATTCCTGTTAATCTCACATTCCTGTTAATCTCATGTTTCTATTAATATGATGTTGTAAATATTTAAAGGACTTCAAACATATCACCTCACTGGATACAAAATTGATGATTGGTATCACCTCAAAGTATATCAAACAAATAAGGAGAATAAAATTAGCTAGAGACAAATAGATTTGATAAAAAAATTGCACAAAGTTTTTTTTTGTGTGAAGAAATGAGACTGTCAATAGAGTAAACAAATATGATATGAGGCCTGTCAACATATACATTGTATAACAGATGTACATATTTATGCAATGATAGATTCCAAATAAAACCTGAAACACAATCCTTATGACATCAAATGCAATGATAATACTTATAAAATAGTTCTTACCTGATCTTCTTGATTTGTCTTCCAGTACCGGAAATCATTCTTCACCTACATTGAACAGTAAATAGTTTACAGATTTGGAATATGCTGGAAATTTGATGAATAACAAAACAATTCATACGGTAGGTCTTTGTTTGAAGCTGCAGCAGACAGCTTGCACAAAATCAGGCCCTTCTGACCAGGTGAGCTTAACTCGATATATTTGTGTAATGTTAAGAATACATAAAGAAAAAATCATTCTCAATATTTCTACAAGACTCTCTTGCCCTAAAATGGTACATACCAAATTTGGACAGAATACACACATTCCAGCAGAAGGAAAAGAGTTTTCAAGATTTCCCCATTTGCCCCATCCCTTCCATCCCAGAAGGCCAAGACCCATCACTTCTATAAAACTGATTCTTCTTTAGCCAAGGATGCTTCAGAAAAAGTTCTAATCAATCCTACAAAAGGTGTATTATCCCTTTTTACTAGAAGTGACAACGATAATGGGTGATGGTTAAAAACTTTCTAAGGAGTTGGTACAGACAAAAGCTTGCAGTCTACAGGTCATTCAGTAGATACATGTTCTTGAGAGAATGTTTTTGATTCTTGGAAATGAGTTTTGACTCCTCTTGTACCCTACTAATTTCTTTTTAGAGTGTCTTTTCAAGGGCTGAGGGGTGTAGGGTAATGCATTGGCCTTCCACCCAGAAGCCTGGGCTCTGATTCCCAGAATGGATAGGGAAAGGTATGAGATCACCTGCATGACCACCAAGGGTTTTCTGCAGGGTACTCCAGTTTCCTCTTACAGCAAGACCCCCTTACATGTTTTCATGAGTGACTGATTCATGATAGAAGTTGTGATAACTTGTCTCACAATTGTCGTAAAGTAGATAAGATTACAAAAGCTTATATTTACAAGGAATGGGGCTTTAAGTCAGAATCTGAAATTGAATCTGAGTAAACATTGAAATGAAATCTTACTTCATAGATGCAACCTTTCAGCATGTCATTAGGATGGCACACTACAGGTGTTTCTGCCGTGGGATCCCTCATTCTCAGTTGATAGTACTGCTTGTATGTCATAAGGCCAGCTGTTCCAGGTAACACACTCAATCCATATAGGATACCAAAATTTGCACCTATTTTGATAATCGTCTTGTTGGAACTCATCCATTCCAAAATTTTGGCTGCCATAGAGACCTTGACAGGCAACAACATTGAAAAAATAAATTATGAAACATGATTTTCCTTGAAAGTACCTGTATATTGGTAGAGCTGTAGAAAAAGTATATCGAAAATCCAGCCTTGAAGAATTTGAGTTAGTTTATGTTGAATTTATTTGCATTCCAGCAGAGGTTACACAACATTATAATACTTACACTTGCCTCTATGAAGCTTACATCATCTGACTAGTGTGTGTATTGATCAGGATTAATAAAATAAAATATAGCTTGCTTAAATGTATTATAATGCATAGAACATTATCTGATTTCGTTGGCAGTACATGTCCCACACAGTGGTGGTTTGGGGTGAATTGTGTGTGCTGGGGCGTGACGAGAGAACACGTACAGGTAATTTGTGGGGTAGGGTCTCTCTAGCTGTGACCCGAGACCTAGACTGATGTACATGTACACAGGTACTCCAGCATATGTTGTTATTATAGTAAGTGATATTGTAAGGAGTTGTGTGCCATTGGAGACCTATGTTTTAATTATTCATAATTAGTATTACATGCATTAAATACCTCAATTGACGCTACCACGCCGTACGTTACTTTTTAACCCTACACTCGGCATTACAGTATCATGTTGACATTAGTATTGTTCTTATGGTAATGTGCAAGGTTGATCCGAATCCCTAAATTTATGTAAGAAGAGAGATGTAATCCATCTACATACCGTAAAATTGTGGATATAGTGCAGAGTCGGGTAGAGTGCGCAAGTTCATTTTTGGAGTTAAATTAAAAAAAAAGTACTTATACTAAAAGTATTGATTACCACTTACTGCAATGCAACAGCTGATGTTTTGATCCAACGATCATTAGGAAACCACAATGACCGTGACCCTAATGCATTTGATTATCTTATGTAAACAAATTCATGCATGTGCCTGACTGAACAAGCATGTAGGGCTAGGCTTATGGGATTATTAATGGTTATTAACAGGTAACACATTGAGTAAGAGGGAACTGATAACACTCTGCCTGGGCTGAACGTGTGCTATTGGTCAGAAAACAATGTTGCTTCAACAGTCTATAAATATTCAATCCTATCTTGTCCTCATAAAAGCAGGTGATATGTTCAGTATCAGTATGACCTTTCATGGTATCTGTACCCACCACGGTATAATGATTATCATTCCTATTCCCTGTGAGCATTCCAAACTGAAGTTCAACCTGTGCTTGTGGTGGCATCAAATGGACAAACGCTGACACATTAACATAAAATTGTGCTGTTTCATTAGGGATTACTAACCTTTAAGTAATAAATATATCAATTAACACAAAATATGTGTATCGCATAGTATTAATCACATTGGATTCCCTCTAATTAGACAGTGGCTTCATATGATTTTGATGATTTCCAGATTAGAATGTCTCTTCTCGTTCTCAATATCAGTGCACTTTTGGCTTTAGCCTGACTCTTGAAGCATCTCTACATATGGGAATAAGACCACTTTTGCGTATCTCTGCAGAAACAGTGCAGGTAGCACAGAATTATTCTGATAAACAATGCACCTGTTCTGTTTTAAATGTTATATATATAAAAACTCAAAATGCAGTTTTGAAAATTTGTGTTGAATATTAAAAAAAGAACCAATATCACATCTTCCATTTTAACTCTTACTTAATAACATAACATTTTCAGATATATATGCATGCACTGATGCATTTCTTTGCAAAAATTCTTAAAACTAATGATATTCAGCAAGTTAGTTTCAGACACATACAGCTGGACCTCTAACTGCAGTCAGATTTCTGAAACCTATTCCAGATGAGCAAGTCCGAGTCTGAATTTACCTGTACTTTATTTTTAGTCACATTATAAGCAAGAGAGGTGATAAAGTTTGTAATTATCACACAAAGACAGAAAACTGAATAATTAATGTTTTCTGTTAACTGTTTAATCATGGACTATATATATATTCTAAGTCTTTTTGGCTTTGGTGAGGGTATTAGGAAAGGGGGTCAAAACCTTTACATAAAAATTTTAGTTCAGCAGTTAATCAAGGAGGTAACTTGTCAAATTTCTTCCATAACATGGTTGTCAACAAGGTGACCAAATCGCACCATAAATCTTCATATTAATTAGAATAAGAGAAAACAAAAATGTAAATGGTAAAAATGTATGTGACCTCTCAATATGCTAATGGTACTTCCTTAATACTCGGCAGGTCTGAAAAATTCTTACGTGAATCTATTCGTGACTTAAATTTATTTCTGGCCTGAAATCTAATACTATGAAAACACAGGTATTATGGATTGACAGTAAGAAGTTTAGTACAGATACCTTTTTACCAGAATTAAATTTAAGAGAGGGAGAAATTTACTCTGTTGGGTATTGATTTTAGTGGAAATCTGCATAAAATACCTAAACTGAATCTCAACAAAGTAATCAATTAATTTGAAACATATCCGCTCACGTCTTGGAGTAGAAGGGTATTAACCACTAATGGAAAATAAAATTATACAGTCACTTTTGATTTTACAACTTAACCATTTTATTCATTTCCTTTCCAGATCCACGTACTACTCCCATAAATCATTGGAATACAATTCTGTTTTGCTTTTAGTGGGGTTGGAAAACTGATAAGGTGAAAAGAAATCTAAAAACGACTTTGAAGCAAGCGAAGATTCTAATTACAAGATTGATCAATATCAAAATATAGCTATGAATTGTGGAAGTGTCCAAAGAAAGATGTAAAAATAAGTTTTGGTGTGATATTTTAAGGCATGAGAGCAACTGTTGACATTTACTGTCACATTGGCTAAAGCTGGACAACCCTCTCCTCTGAAAACCCCTCTCGTGTAACCCACAAGTGACCATCAGTGGAAAACCAGTTTTCTACAATTCTACAAAGACTAGTCCACTAAAAGGGTTAGAGTGGTAAATGGTATGTTTAAAAATTAAAGTTCAATTACTTTTTAGTCCCATAATGAATTTATTGAGAAATATGATTGAGAAACTAATTTTGTTAGATTTCAAGGGCTTTTGAACTCGATTCGGAAAAGTATATACTGTATTGACTTATAGAAAATTATGGAGTCACATTTCCTTGTCTTTTATTCACGTTAGCACAGAACCTTTCAAAAGGAAGCAATGATATCTATAAATGTTTTGTAAAAAAAAAAACTCAAAGAAAAAAATCTTGAATCTCCTTCACAAAAAGTGCACACATCAACACAGATACACCATTTTATAGCTGTCAATTAAATGCACGACCATTAAACATATACAGGAGTGTGTCCAACCTGACTTATGAACAGATTATATATAAGTGCTCGAAGAAATGAAGGATAAAATTTCGGGAATATCTTCGAAGAAGATTCTGATATTCCGTCGTATACAAATAAACTACTTAATGCATACAGTAAATGAATGATTTCATGAACACATCGGTAAATATGAAATACCGATAAGGATCCATTACCTCTGTAGGTGGCGAGTTACGTAAACTTCAAATCTCCTTACAAAACACCATCACCTGGAGGCGGCCATCTTTGAAGGTTAAGGGCCAGCGTAAAGTACGAATCATGAGGAACGGAGTCAAATGCGGATAAATCTGCCCGGATGAGGAAATATTGAGTATGCCAATACATGCATATAGAGAACACTTTTAGTGGATTGTACGTAGAGAAATTTCTAAATCCCTGCTGTACATGTACATTTAACACTTGATGACGTAAGTATTGATGAAATGACTTTAAATGTGTTCTGTAATTTCTAACTTTCCTTAATAAAGAAAAGCAAATGTCCGGATAAAGCAGGTTTTCAGCAAAAGGACTGAATAAAGTCCTAAACTCGAGCTCTTTGTTTTCCTTAAAAATAGATGTTCACCACTACTTTGTTTACTAGGTAAGGATGATGGAGAATTTTGTACCCCGAAACACGTACCAAGATTATTAAAAAATAATTCATATCTCAAGAATCGAAAAAGTCTAATAAACTTCAAATTTTGAAAATAAATCTATTCATATATTCTAAAAAGTCTAAGACTTAAATTAATTTACTTCAAGATTGTCTTAAATCTTAGTTCATGTTAAATTCATTTATTTTATTTTTCAGGTGTGTACGTAAAGTTTTCAAAATCAAGGAAGATATCCGCTCTCACCACATTCAAATATTTTAGGGTCAACTCATAAACTCGTACAGTTTGCTGAATTGTGTCAGCAAAATGCTCTACAAAGATGAAACTGGAGATCCAAACACACAAGAACAATCATGAAAGAAACAAGCAGTTCAAAATACCTGTTTTGAATGTGAACTTTTCAATGTCGTGTTAATTATAACACGTTGTTTCTGTTTGTGCCCGTATTGGCCCTAACTTTGTATTTGTTTTATGTTCTATGTATATGATGTAATTTATGTAATATTTGTGTCTTGATAAAGGGGCAGGTTGCCTCGAAGATTTGACAATTCGCCTGTTCGTACTGTCGTTAATACTTCATGGATCATATATCTATCCCAGTAATACGCAACCAACGAACATTTGTTTGTTAGGATCCGGTACCAATATTGGACCATACCGTCGATATTACATACTAGATTCTATATATTGAAGATCCAGTACCAATATTTGACCATACCGTCGATATTACTTACTAGATTCTATATATAGAAGATCCAGTACCAATATTGGACCATACCATCGATATTACTTACTAGATTCAATATATAGAAGGTCCAGTACTAATATTGGACCATACCGTCGATATTACATACTAGATTCTATATATTGAAGATTCGGTACCAATATTGGACCATACCGTCGATATTACTTACTAGATTCTATATATAGAAGATCCAGTACCAATATTGGACCGTACCGTTGATATTACTTACTAGATTCAATATATAGAAGATCCGGTACCAATATTGGACCATACCGTCGATATTACTTACTAGATTCTATATATAGAAAGTCCAGTACAAATATTGGACCATACCGTCGATATTACATACTAGATACTATATAGAGAAGATCCGGTACCAATATTGGACCATGCCAACGACATTACTTACTAGATTCTATATATAGAAGATCCGGTACCAATATTGGCCCATACCGTCGATATTACTTACTAGATTCTATATATAGAAGATCCAGTACCAATATTGGACCATACCGTCGATATTACTTACTAGATTCAATATATAGAAGGTCCAGTACTAATATTGGACCATACCGTCGATATTACATACTAGATTCTATATATTGAAGATTCGGTACCAATATTGGAGCATAACGTCGATATTACTTACTAGATTCTATATATAGAAGATCCAGTACCAATATTGGACCGTACCGTTGATATTACTTACTAGATTCAATATATAGAAGGTTCAGTACTAATATTGGACCATACCGTCGATATTACTTACTAGATTCTATATATAGAAGATCCGGTACCAATATTGGACCATACCGTCGATATTACTTACTAGATTCTATATATAGAAAGTCCAGTACAAATATTGGACCATACCGTCGATATTACTTACTAGATACTATATAGAGAAGATCCGGTACCAATATTGGACCATGCCAACGACATTACTTACTAGATTCTATATATAGAAGATCCGGTACCAATATTGGCCCATACCGTCGATATCACTTACTAGATTCTATATATTGAAGATCCGGTATCAATATTGGACAATACCGTCGATATTACTGACTAGATACTATATAGAGAAGATCCGGTACCAATATTGGACCATGCCAACGACATTACTTACTAGATTCTATATATAGAAGATCCGGTACCAATATTGGCCTATACTGTCGATATTACTTACTAGATTCTATATATGGAAGATCCGGTACCAATATTGGACAATACCGTCGATATTACTGACTAGATACTATATATTGAAGATCCGGTACCAATATTGGACAATACCGTCGATATTACTTACTAGATACTATATATTGAAGATCCGGTACCAGTATTGGACAATACCGTCGATATTACTTACTAGATTCTATATAGAGAAGATCCGGTACTAATATTGGACCATGCCAACGACATTACTTACTAGGTTCTATATATAGAAGATCCGGTACCAATATTGGCCCATACCGTCGATATTACTTACTAGATTCTATATATTGAAGATCCGGTACCAATATTGGACAATACCGTCGATATTACTTACTAGATTCTATATATTGAAGATCCGGTACCAATATTGGCCCATACCGTCGATATTACTTACTAGATTCTATATATTGAAGATCCGGTACCAATATTGGACAATACCGTCGATATTACTTACTAGATACTATATATTGAAGATCCGGTACCAATATTGGACCATACCGTCGATATTACTTACTAGATACTATATATTGAAGATCCGGTACCAATATTGGACAATACCGTCGATATTACTTACTAGATACTATATATTGAAGATCCGGTACCAATATTGGACCATACCGTCGATATTGCTTTTTCTTTCTAGATTCTATGTATGTGAAGTGATGGTGTGCGTGAGGGTGTGTGGGTCAATGGAATGTTTGTTTCTGTAAATATACGTACCTACATGTTCTTTATAATCACAAAAACTCACAGTGATCTATGAAAACACTGTAATCAATATTTATTCGATGCATGCATATCACGTGACATGGTCGTATCTACCTGTATATCGGTAGAAAGATGCATGTACTGTAATCTTCAAACTGAAAATGATATATATATATATCTTAATATACATGTAGCTTTTCGAATATTATAAAGCAAATATAATATTAATACATTAACATAAAATTTGTTTTATTAAGGTCCTAAATCGGATATGAGTGGTTGGTTTTTAATTATTATTTCTAATCAGGGTTATTTAGAAAAGCAGGTGGCTTGGGTAAAGACTGTGAATCAATTTGCGGTTTATATATTTAAAAAAATGAAAAGAGGGTAATGTTTAATAAGACAAGTTTTCTGTTCTTGGTGTTGAATTCCATAGACCTGCCGTAGACACTAATAAAGAAATAACTATAAGTGATTCTGCCTGTTGGCAGGTGAATATATTCCCGCAGTACAGGTCACTTGTGTTTTTGGTAAATATTCTTCACTAGGACACGGCATTGTATATTGACAATAACTAGTCGACAATACTTTCCTATAGTACCACAAAATGGTTGACTATGAAAGCTGTTTTCCCATTGTGTTTAGTGGCTTACGTTGTGTTGGGTAGTTATTTAGACATGGTATCTCGTTATTGGCTGCTACTAGTTGTTTGGCTATCGGTGCGAACACGCACAATCAGTGAAATGAGCTTGTGGAGGAAACTGAAACTACGTAAAAAGGATGAAATTAAAGTTTTTATGAAATCGCAAGTGTCAGTTAAACTTTATTTTTTCTGTGTGTTGGCTGCTTATTTACATGTACATTTGTCTATATATCTTTATACGGGATAAGTTCATATTGCATAAAAAAGGAGACGGTTTTGTCAAATGTTGTAGCAAAAGTGGTAAGAAGGATTGGTATAATGTATTATTGTGGTGAAGAACATGTACACTAATTATAAACAAAATCACTATCTGATTTTAGTTATTTCTTAAAATTGTCTATATTATTGAATCTATAAACACGTCATTCTTTGAAGCTATTTCAGATTATGTAAATATAACTGAATGAACATCGTATATTTTTCTAGAGTAGTAAAGGTCAACAACTTTGTGTAAATTTAGTCCGAAGTATAAAAGTTACATAAACATTACAAGCGTAAAAAGGAAGATTATATAAAAGCATGAGATGTGTATTTTCAGTGCTCTTCCATACCTAGCATCACTGACAGGCAGTGTGATCCAATCTTAGATACAAATTGTAAACAAATAATGACGTAGCATATTTCTGCTGCTCGAACGAATGAATACCCTTTGAACGTATAATTAAAGTTGGCCTAGCTCATTTGCCTAACACGCCGCTAAGAGAAGCATTATATACAGTCCCTATTCAAAGTCCAAGGGTTGAGAAATCACTTCCGTCCTCTTCAAAATAAATAGAAGATATACATTTACTTATTGAAAATGCAATTTGTACTTTTAAGAATATGTAAAGTATTTCAACGTTCTAACAAAATAAGACATCACCTATCTAATATCAATTAACACTAGGCATCTGATAGTCCGAAGGCTTTTCATTATATATCCGCGATATTTTGTGTTGATCGCGGACTGATAGTGGATGTTAACCTACAACAAGTCTAGAGAGATTCCGCATAGTGCACTGGCGGCCATTTCGAATCTGCTGGAAAGTATTTGGTATTTTTATATTTTTAGGAATTCTGACTATTGGTCAGCGACCAAGACAAAATATATTCGCGGAGAGTTAGTTAAACCCTGCGGATTAGGTACCTGAATTAACCGTTTGCCTTTCATTTAATATAATTCTCACAATAAAGGCACAGGCACTCGAGGCCAGGATTATTTTTTAAACATTGATTTTTGTACCTGAATTAACCGTTTGCCTTTCATTTAATATAATTCTCACAATAAAGGATGAATTTCCGATATTAGATGTCAGAATACGCCTTAATTTAATCTAATCTGTCGGAATACCATTACTTTTTCAAATATAAATCCTCAGAATACACGACCTTCTGAATGACTCGGACGTTTTGACAGGCATTTAACAACAAAACGGGCACTCTATACATCGAACTAAAACTTTTTTTTGGGCCAATTGCATTCATTTTTGTCAATTAATAGATCGACATTTTTAATGGTTTCTAGGATAACTTATCAATATCTACACCATAGGCTTTAGCGAAATCATGAATGTATCACCTTGTGACCCTGGCGTGATCAATGTGGAAGAGGAATTTTATTTATTCTTCAGTGTTATGTATGAAAACGAAATTAATTTCATAAATGTTACATTGTATGTTTATCTTCAAATAAATTAGCAGAGGACAAAGCACACCACCATAATTTTGATCTTACTTGGCAACAACACCCCTTTGTGTACAACCGATGTAAGGGATTCTGTCCGAATGACGCGCCACAGTAATGTGATCACCATTATGGATGTGTCTGTACTCATAAGTATCTATGCAGTCGAACCTCGTTATCTCGAATTCGGCGAGATCGGGGGAAAACTTCAAGATAATCGAGTATTCGATTTAAATGAATTCGATTGAATGTTATGTGTAAATTTAGGTAGGGACTAAAGAAATGTTTCGAATTAAAGGTGTCTTCGATCTGTAAGATTTCGAGATAACGAGGTTCCACGAGGGTATGATATTCTCTATGAGACTCGGTAAAGTCATGCTATTCAGTTAAATATTCTACAAACAGTCAGTGACGTCACTTGACACAAGCTGGTACATGTACTTGTATATGTAAGATACTTATACAAATTTATAAGAAAAGAAACACTTTTCAAAATTTAGAATGAATCTGCTGTAATTTGGTACATATTTGATTTTTTAAAATTAGAACTTCAAGAACATTGAATGCCACTCTCAAAAAATCATAACATTACCTTACCATAGTAACATAAATGGGAAAATGATAGACGTTTTGTGAATGTATGTGCGTGAAAACAAGTGCTTGTACTACATGACGAAGTCGTCTTATACTGAAGTCGAAAGAGAACAATAAGCAGTCCCTAATACCAAAATATGTCAGCCACACTACATTGTACATTGACACTTATAAATACAAAAATAGTGCTTTCGGGTTATTGAAAATGCATGAACACAACATAAGGTTTCGGCAGCTGTAGGTTGATAACATTAAAGGAAATTTTCATGGTCAACATAACGATCTCATCAGTCCTAGTATAATATAATGTTTTGTGGTTCCGTTGCTACCAATGTGCTGATTTGGAAGCACGATATTTCTTACTTGTATTGACAAAGGTTTACGTGACGGGAGTCGTCGACGGAACAGAAGACGCTTACTCTTCCATAACACCAGGTCTTATTAATTTTATAGTTTTTTAGGTGTATCCGTGTTAATCATTCTTTTATTCTTGTCTTGACCTCGTTACATACAATTAGAATTTTAATTAATATTCTGTCAACATGACGGCATTTTCATAATATATATGATACAAATTTGATTATATTACAACAATTGTGAAGCAAGGTTTAAGCTGATATCAATCACTCTTGTTGGTTCGGGCGGAAGGGCACAAAAGGTCTTACAGTGAGAGGAAACCAGAAAACACTTAGTCGGGTAAGTGATCCCATGTATTTTCACGTCCGTTCCGAGGAATCGAATCCCGAGTGCCTAGCCTAAGTGAGAGACGAGTGCGTTACCACTACTCCACCTGACTCCCTTTCAGAACTTAGAAACAAAGTTCTTGTAAGTGTTTGTCACAAATTTTTCTTTCTACCTTAACTTCCACCAAGTTAAGGTAGGTCAACATATTGATCGTCGAATAGTAAATGAATACCCATAGATTTTAAATAACGAAGACAACTACTATTTTGCTAGGTTAAAGCCAGTCTTAATGAACAATGAGTTTAAGTCAGTCTTAATGAACAATGAGTTAGAGCCAGTCTTAAGGATCAATGAGATAAAGCCAATCTTAAGGATCAATGAGTTAAAGTCAGTCTTAATGAACAATGAGTTAAAGCCAGTCTTAATGATCAATGAGATAAAGACAGTCTTAATGAACAATGATTTAAAGTCAGTCTTAATGAACAATGAGTTAAAGTCAGTCTTAATGAACAATGAGTTAGAGCCAGTCTTAAGGATCAATGAGATAAAGTCAGTCTTAATGATCAATGAGATAAAGCCAGTCTTAATGAGCAATGAGTTAAAGCCAGTCTTAATGAACAATGAGTTAAAGTCAGTCTTAATGATCAATGAGAAAGCCAGTCTTAATGAACAATGAGTTAAAGACAGTCTTAATGAACAATGAGTTAAAGTCAGTCTTAATGATCAATGAGATAAAGCCAGTCTTAATGAACAATGAGTTAGAGCCAGTCTTAATGAACAATGAGTTAAAGTCAGTCTTAATGAACAATGAGTTAAAGCAAGTCTGAATGATCAATGAGATAAAGTCAGTCTTAATGAACAATGAGTTAAAGCAAGTCTGAATGATCAATGAGTTAAAGCCAGTCTTAATGATCAATGAGATGAAGCCAGTCTTAATGAACAATGAAAATGCAGACACCTGTATGCCTCAGCACAGGACATAATGCAATAATAACACAATTGTATCTATTCGTGCGGATCACGTGTCTGATCGAATCGATTTTTTTTAGATTATGACAATAAACAAAGGTTTAGAAAAACGTTTGTTTTGTTTAACCCCTGTAATGACTCACTACGGTTTGTTCCTTCCGGCTGCTCTTACTTTATCAGTTCACACACACCTTGTCCTTATTATTAATACAATTGATTTCAGGAAATAGAGCGGAACAATCCTTTCCGGGAAAGTCGATAATGTGATCCACGTCTGGGATATATCTACATGTAAAATCTGTACTTGATATTTCAATGTACAAATATCAAGTGGATACTTTGACTATCGACTGCTGTAGATTTCTAGTCTGCTGTAAATGTTTAAACAGAACTGTTCGAATGAAATACATGAACTTAATACGAAAATTATGGCGTCAAAAATGCAAAATTATTTAACAAACGCTTGGTAGTGTAATGTCTGTTATAATTTTCTACTTGTTTGATCATTTCATATTTTCATCTTTTCTATTTAAAATCTTGGTCAACTATAAAATGCACATAAAATGTGATGTTTGTTATTGAACACGGTTACTTTTACGATTTCTGTCTACAGATTATTCTGATCCTAATGGTGCACTACATCACATAATCATATAGACTTTGAAATACATGTAATAAACAATTTTTTTTAAAAAAATGCAATAATAATACTAATTTAAAGACCGTATGGAGATATAGACGTATTACATCCAAACTCAAATCGTCTGTTGCCATGGTTTTACACTTGCAATTGAATCACTGTTGAAAACAACACTTTTTTTAATGAGCAGACTGTTTGTCTGTTATATCCGGTTCACAGATTAGTTGCTAAGGTAATGTAGGACATCTTGATAGTGCCGTCGCTGTAGTTTTAAACAAGGAACTTTGAGAACATCAAGAATTTATTAAGTGCACATAACTGGATTATTTATAGGCTTCTGTACTCTAGAGCAAACAATCGATAGGTGTATAGTTTTCGTTCAGCGATATAAATTAACTGACGGTATGATGACAGATATAGGCCTGGAATCCAAAGCCATGAGAAAGTACTGTAACAGTTAAACGAAACGTATAAAATATCATAGATCTTGTATCTGTGTTTTAATATAACTTTCAAGAAGGATGTTAAAATCACAATTCAATAATAATAATAAAAAAACAAAAACACACACACAAAAAACAACCAAGTATGACACACTCTTTAGTACCAAAACTAAGAAATTAAACAATATGAACACACTAAATAATTATTTAAAAATATATTGAAATACACGACCATTTCTAAGACTATGTGTCAAATTCAATACAAATATTGTCCGTTAACAAAGCCAACAAATCACGAACTCTTCCATTCAAAATATTTTACAGTACAACATTTTCGAGTTACACATACACTAGCTTCTTAATAATTGGATAGGTTTCAAGTCTATCAGCTGTATACTTTATATCATCTGTAGTCTGGTGTGTAAACCTGATATGTGTCACTAAGCCACCAAAGTGGAATAACTAAGAAGAACATTGATGTTACAATATTCTCTTTGACATCAGCATATAAGACAAATATGGCACATTGAGGGCAATTTAAATACGGCAATCATTGCTAAATTCAAGACGGTATTGGAAGCTAATTAAAGATCTACATATCAAATACATTTACAATTTAACAGCAGAAGAAACAAATTACAACAAAAATGATGAACTAGAAAGTAACTGATGAAATGAATGAATAAGCTGTATCTGAAGTTTTCTATGAAGCATAAATAAGATAAAAATACAACAACGATAATAATTATCAGAATGCTTTGTTTGCTTTTTCTACGGATGGTTAGCAGGTATATCCTACCTTATGATAAGGGGTCTAGTGCAGGTCAAGGGTCAAATAGGAGCTTGCTTGAAGAGTTATCAATGATCGCATGACTGCACTTTGCTCGAATTTGTCAATTGTCTCATGCATTTCAAAACCGCCTCAAGCAGATTCAGTAAAATATTGTACTTTCATATTTCATGTAATCAAATGCAACATGCAGTGTTTATGCATTATTTTTATCTTATCTCCCTAAAAGGCACCTTAAAAGAAAAAATAATCAGTTTTATTGGTGTCATATAGAAACGTGGGTAAACTCTGCTACATTCGAAATATGCAAAGAGCTTTTCTCCAGATAGAACATTGTCCTACATTACACTGTAGTTTACGTCTTTCATTCCATAACTGTTCAATGTGTTCTTTTGATACATAATGTATAATTACCGAACATTGCATATAAAAATCAATGAATATCTGATTCAGCAAAGGGTGGGATGCGAAATCATAAATGAAGTGATCTACATCTTGCACAATTATCCCTAACCTATAAGCTACCATCCCTATGTAAACATCCTCTAATTTAAACAATCTCGTCCGATACATTTCCTGGTGCAGTTTGCGTGCAGTGGAGGATGTCATTAAATATCCTGGACCAAAACAAAATGGCGGGTATGTTTCAAATGGATATTCTTCATAAGAAACCTTCCACTTAGATTCCTCTCTCCATGGCAAATTATACTGAGTGCATGCTCCTAAGATGCGATCTTCTAAAAGCAGGTTATATTTCTGCTGGATTTTATTTAATTTCGCTATATTTACAAACGCATCATCATCGACTTTGAAAAAAAATCTTGTTTCATTACAAAACTGTGTTACCCATTGAAAAGCTGCTATGGTCTTCTTCGTTAAATTGTAGTAGCTTTCCAAAATATCCACTTGAATAGTATCCCCGAATTCATCTATTTCTGTTCTTAGAGTGACGGATCGTTCATATCCAACAAGAAACTTCACACATAAATTATATTTGATTTGTGTTTCAAGGTTTCCCCAGGTCTTTCGGATGTTTCGCCTTTGCATTATGTGTGACGATTTGCTTAAAACCATGATAATAGTACCATTTACACAATCTTGCAAACATCTCCGTTTGGGATGAGTTAAAAACGTGAATATGTTTCTTTCCTCATGTCGGTCTGTGAAATTCATCAGATAGGATTTTACTGGAACCACATTTTGCACGTTCAATGAGACACGAAAAAATGAATAAAGAATTCCAACAATCACCAGCAAAATTAAGACCTTGCCTCTCCTCTTCATTGTCTCCTGAAAAGAAAGAGAACAGATTATTAATACTCTTTCATTATTCAATGAAATACGTTTGAAATGTTAAGAACACAGAATTATGTTAGAATGCGCTGAGCAGGAAGGTCTTTTTGTTGTTAAGAATGAATAATTCATATATATCAAACGGGAAATAAATAAATAAATAAATCACCTCCACAAAACAAACATGTGCTAACTTTTACTTATATCATGGCTTTTCGAAACTAATTCGTATCACTATACCTAGTCTATGTAACGGGTCTGACACAAAGATAAACCATGTATTTCCCTTGAGTGACTGTCTCCCTGTCATTTCCGTGGTAAAACTCTGTGGTATAGGTCATACCAATAAATACAACTGAGCAATATTTAACGACACACAATAGACCAAGAAAGCAATTATTTAAGTGAACTTTTTACGCGAAAACTGTCAAGAACCCGCAATTTACATTGTATAAACCGGATATATAATATCTGTTTTTGGTAACGTATAACGATTTCTATCTTAAAGTACAGCTTTGGATATTCAAAAAGTCTTTTTATTTTTGTTTTGTTTGGTGATATAAAGATACGAAAGGTGATTCATTCTCATACGTTATGTATAACGAGAGAGTAAATAAACCTCCTAACAGCAAAGACCACGAAAGTGTTAAATGTGTGATATTTCATCATTTACACACACAAAAGTTATACAAGTCTATAGTTATTGTTTCAATCTTAAAGCATTATTAATACCAAAAACAGAAATTATTATTGTTTATATAAAAAAAACCTACAAACAGTATGTGCATGTATACGAAGATGACGAGAGTACATACGATACTAGTCATCAACACATAGCACTCCCACCTGTCCGATGTTTCTGTAAACACAGCGAAACCATACATTTCATTTTGATAGATTGACAGTAAGTAATATATATCCAATAATTAATCTCATGGGATACAAACATATATCTAAACGACTCATATAGAAAACAGATAAATACCTTAAACTTGACTCTGTCATATTAAACGCTTGTAAACATTACATCTCGCAGTGAAGCGACGTGTGTTTGGGTGTGATATCCACCGGAGACTATATATAACAGCGAACTAGACCGTATACACATAAATAAACATGTCACAGACCGACATCTGTGACCAGTATCCTACAACAGTGCACTGACTACGTGAATTATAGTGTTTTTACTTGGGTTAAAATGTTACTTTTCTAATTTCTGTAAATTTAACACACTTACTAACAAGCTACCCAGAGCATTTATCTTTCTTAATTAATGACGTGAGAACAAACAAACCCACAAAAGCATTGCCGGATGTTGCAATAATAAAAATGTAAATTAAACGATACAGGAAGTATTGTTAAAGTTCTAGTATGAAATGACTCGGGTCGAATAAGTTAGATTTACAAGCATGATGATTGGATTACTAAAAAGGGACATTAACTGCCGTTGTTGATAAAACAAGAACATTGAGGAAAACAACATTTAATTCACTTGCAGGGTAATTAGGCCAGGACCAATAAGCACGTCTGTCATTATACTTTATACAAACATCTTGTTTTTTCACGTGGAGGACACAAATTTTAGTGACGATTTATACCGACTAAAGCTAACCTTTTTAAGTAACCACATCTACATGGCTTCTTTAGAGGCCTCAGTTTCAGAAATTTGAGGATGACGACACTAGGGAATTATATCTGACAGATAAATGAATTTTAATTATTTGGTCTAGGGACCTTTTCATTTGTTTATTTTTGCTTTACGTTCTAATAGCCAGGGTCATTTAACCCCTTAACTCCAATGGATTTATAATCACACCAAGGAAAATTTGTCATTTTGCTTCAACAGAATTTTCACCATTTTCGAGTCCACATATATTTAAAAACATGGGCATACAAGCTTTCCAAATCTTTTGACAAAATCATGCTTTAAGAATGATGACGTTAACGTAGCAGCCAGAATAGTTTTTGTTGTTGAAATTTGCCAACTTCATTTTGGTCTGTCCAACTTTCAACCACCAGAAAATATAACAAGAAACTAAAAAAAAGAAAACATTTGTCAGAATTTCACAACATAATTATTTCTTTTCATATATCAGTATTTGTATTTGTCTAAACATGAAAGAAATAGGACCATTAGTCTGTAATATTATGAAGATGGTGTATCCCAGTACGGGTATTAGATAAAAGCAAACCGACCTCAGATATCATTAACTGCACTTTTGTCAGGTTTTCAAAGCCTGACAAAAGCGTAGTTATATATATATATATATATATATATATACATATATATTGGAAGTCAGCATAGGTGACGAAGATGTTCAAGTAACCAAGGAGATATACGGCCTGTCGTTAAACTTAATGTAATTCAACGCAGTGGTGGTTGTAATTTTGTCGCCGGTTGCTTTCAGCAAACGCACTGATGTGAGAAAATAAAGGATTTTCAACACAATATGACTATACAGCTATGGTGAGATATTTACCCAGTAGGGATATAATGCTACTAGTAAAATAATTGATCGCCGGTTGCTTTTAGCAAAAGCATTGACGTGAGACGGTATCAACATTTGATTTAAATATGTTTTATTGCACAAAATCAGTAGCACAAGTTTTACACCTGCTTATATAAAAAAAAACAACCGTTCCAAACATATTGTTACAGACACATAATATTTACAAGGTGGCATTTTGATGAAATAACAAGTATAAAGATGTTTTGAGAAAGAGAGGGTGGGGGAGGGAGTAGGTGTATAACACGTAATTAGTTAGTTGAGAATACCATGTTTATATGTAGATCATGTATCTGCTCCTTCTCCATGCAAGCGAAACAGGTGATACACTGTCCACATCCTCACAACGTGTCAATTTCCATCACTTCACTTGCTTTGTATACATCGTTGTCACCCGTTGTTACATAGTACACACATACTTTTCCATTATAATTCTATGAATTTAAGACGTTAAAACCGCATTTATTTCATAAATTAATACATTTTTTTCAGATAATACTTACTTATGATATGATCTGGTAGCAAGATGAACGCCTTGTTTATTCCACCATTTGCAAATATTGGCATGTCGCAGTTTTTTTACCTTTAGTTCATGTTCAGACACAACACGGGTGAATTCTATCGCCTTGATTGTGACATGTCATCATTTTGCTGAGTCATAATTCTTACTTGTGATATATACACAGTTGACAGCATATCCTACTGTAGTGACGAATAACTCTTATATATATATATATATATATATATATATATATATAGAAAATACACATGTATAGCTATATTTATGTACATGTATATTTTCTATACATATATGAGTCTGGTGTAGAGGACTTGTCTTAGTCCTGAACCGGAAATAAACTTAACTTAACTTAACTTAACTTAACTCGGCAAAACAGGTCTCGGTCTGTAAAACATGTGCTCGCTCCATTAAATCGATATTCATCACTTTGGAAATACCTGAACATTATTAATAGCTTTTTCCGTCGATGAGAAGGTTTCTTTTTTTTTTTTTTCTTCTTCTTTTTTAAGTCTAACGTTATTTCAAGATATCTTTTATTACCGTTATCTTTCCCGTGTGAATGAAATCATATATTATATAAAACAGCAAATGACGTCGTCAAAACCAACCCGTCAGTTACAAATGAGGGTGTAACTGAAACACGGTAAGCAGGGCAGGGGAGACATTAAATGAGAGGGGGCGATAACTCGTCAGTGATGTCGTCACACACTCTATCATGATTATCTATTATTGAGAGGCCTTAGGTTTACCTCATATTTGAGTTCTGTTGTTATGGAACTCCAAGATGGCGGATTCCTCAGTATTGTAATTGTAACCGTAAACAGCAGCAAGCAGCATAAAGAACATCATTAAAACAGCAGCAAACAGCAGCAATTAGTAACAAAACAGCAGCAATTAGTATCAAAACAGCATCAAAGCAGCAGTAAAAAAAAAAGCAATCAGCATCAAAACAGCAGCAAACAGCATCAATTAGTAACAAAACAGCAGCAATTAGTATCAAAACAGCATCAAAGCAGCAGTAAAAAAAAACAGCAATCAGCATCAAAACAGCAGCAAAACAACATCTAATTGCATCAAAACAACAGCAAACAGCATCAAATCAGCAGCAAACAGCATTAAATCAGCAGCAAACAGCATTAAAACAGCATCAAACTTCATGAAAACAGCATCAAACTTCATGAAAACAGCATCAAACTTCATGAAAACAGCATCAAACAGCAGCAAAACAGCAGCAAACTGCATCAAAACAGCAGCAAACAGCAGTAAAACAGCAGCAAACTGCAGCAAAACAGCAGCAAACAGCATCAAATCAGCATCAAACTGCATCAAATCATCAGCAAAAATCAGTAAAACAACAGCACACAGCTTCAAAACAGCAGCAAAACAGCATCAAACTGCATCAAAACACCAGCAAAACAGCAGCAAACTGCATCAAAACACCAGCAAAACAGCAGCAAACAGCAGCAAAACAACATCTAATTGCATCAAAACAACAGCAAACAGCAGCAAAACAGCATCAAATTGCATCAAAACAACAGCAAACAGCATTAAAACAGCATCAAACTTCATGAAAACAGCATCAAACTTCATGAAAACAGCATCAAACTTCATGAAAACAGCATCAAACTTCATGAAAACAGCATCAAACTTCATGAAAACAGCATCAAACTTCATGAAAACAGCATCAAACAGCAGCAAAACAGCAGCAAACTGCATCAAAACACCAGCAAACAGCAGTAAAACAGCAGCAAACTGCAGCAAAACAGCAGCAAACAGCATCAAATCAGCATCAAACTGCATCAAATCATCAGCAAAAATCAGTAAAACAACAGCACACAGCTTCAAAACAGCAGCAAAACAGCATCAAACTGCATCAAAACACCAGCAAAACAGCAGCAAACTGCATCAAAACACCAGCAAAACAGCAGCAAACAGCAGCAAAACAACAGCACACAGCTTCAAAACAGCAGCAGAACAGCATCAAACTGCAGCAAAACACCAGCAAACAATAGCAAACAGCTTCAAAACAGCAGCAAACAGCAGCGTACAGCATCAAACAGCAGCAAAACAGCAGCAAACTACATCAAACTGCATAGAAATAGCAACAAACAACCAGTAAAACAGAAGCAAACAGCATCAAACAGCATTAAAACTGCACCAAACAGCTTCAAAACTGCAGCAAAACAGCATCAAAACAGTATCAAAACAACATTAAACAACAGTAAAACAGCAGCAAACAGCATCAAACTGCATCAAAACAGCAGCAAACCAGTAGCAAACACGATAAAAACATCAGCAAAACAGCAGAAAACAGGATATAAACAACAGCAAACTGCATCAAAACAGCAGCAAACTGCATCAAAACAGCAGCAAACTGCATCAAAACAGCAGCAAAATAGCAGCAAACAGCATCAAAACGGCATCAAAACAGCAGCAAACTGCATCAAAACAGCAGCAAACAGCATCAAAACAGCGTCAAAATAGCAGCAAACTGCATCAAAACAGCAGCAAAACAGCAGCAAACAGCATCAAAACAACAAAAAACATCTTCAAAACAGCATCAAAACAGCAGCAAACTGCATCAAAACACCAGCAAATAATAGCAAACAGCTTCAAAACAGCAGCAAACAGCATCATAACAGCAGCAAAACAGCAGCAAACTACATCAAACTGCATAAAAATAGCAACAAACAACAGCAAAGCAGAAGTAAACCACAGCAAACAGCATTAAAACTGCACCAAACAGCTTCAAAACTGCAACAAAACAGCATCAAAACAGTATCAAAACAACATTAAACAACAGTAAAACAGCAGCAAACAGCATCAAACTGCATCAAAACACCAGCAAAACACAGCAAACTGCATCAAAACACCAGCAAAACAGCAGCAAACAGCAGCAAAACAACAGCACACAGCTTCAAAACAGCAGCAAAACAGCATCAAACTGCATCAAAACACCAGCAAACAATAGCAAACAGCTTCAAAA